AACAGTTTGGCAAAATTTTTGTTTAATTACTGCGGCAGAAAAATATACATAGAAACCCATTCATTTCGGCAGTCAGATAAATTTCCATTTAGTTTAGTGATTCATGCAAAGATTTCCACTTGGCATAAGGCAGATTTTTCAACCAATTTGCAAATTGTTTTCTAAGCACACACACACAAACAAGGATAGGAAAACCAGAGAACGAGATGGAGATAGAAAAGTGTCAGCAGAATAAATGCTGACAATAAATAAAAATGGAAAATGATTGAAACATGTGTCCTGGGGGGCATTTTCGATTTTTTGATATGCCATGCACGTTCTATATGCCAGCCAGCCAGCCTCCTTGGTCTCCACCTCCATCTCTCTGTGACACTGTTTCCTGTACTTTTGGCGTGTGTCAATAGCCCGGATGTGTAAACAAATAAGAAAACAATCAGAGGCGACATTTTCTAACCTAACGTGAGTGCGCACAAAAGTATGCTATAAAAAATATGATGACGCGAGCGACTGAGCGCTATGGATAAAGGAGGGGCGGAAGTGGCACAGAGTATCATGTGGAAAATAATATGATTGCACATAAAAATTGTTGCTAAAAGAAGTGTTCACATTGTACTAAAATGAGGTTAAAGGCAGGAGGAGAATAGATAATGTTTATTTTATGATATTTTAGCTCAAATAAGAAGTGATAAAAGAGGTTAAATAAGTAAAATAATAATAATTAGATTGATATTTCTTTATACAAAATATAAATATGTGTATGGATAGATTACAAAATAGTTATTGCTGCCCTAAAAACCAGGATACTATCAGAAAAACCTCCGTAAATACAACAAATAAGAGTGAAAATAAATATAAATAAATTTAAAACTAAATAAATATTTATATCTGCCCAAAAAAGAAGACATTTTATCAAAGAAACCTACTTACTCGTAATTAAAATATTATTCTTAAATAAAATAGAACAACATCTAAAATAACATTTTAAAAATCAACTTTTAGACTAAAAATCTCCAGAAAATTTTAAATTAATATATCTAAACTCCATTGATTGATTTTCCATTACAATAACTAGATACACTTATATAGTATGGTTACGCTTCCATGTGTGGCCAAGTTAACCCCTCGCTTTCCTATCAATATCAATAAGCCATATCGATGTCATTGAATGACAAGCCCAACTAATACCATATTGATTGCCTGACCAACCCCTGGACAAGGGAACTGCACCCACGAAGGCATTTGCACCACATAACTCGGCATCAGGCGGCACATCCCGTGCACATCCTGTTGAAGTATAAAAGGGTTTATGGCGTGTTTGCAAAAAGGCAAACAAAAACCAATAATAAAAAAAGGAATATATATATATAAATAAATATAATAATAGCGCAGTGAAAGGAGAGAAACAAAATCCCGAACAAACATTAATTTGTAACGCACGTTTGGCCAATTTCGGTTTTACAATTTTGACCAACAAAAATGTACCCCAAGTGACCGCATAACGAGCGCAAATCAATTTGCCACGTTGATAAGCAACCCTCCAACGATGATAACCCTTTTTTTTTGGTTTTTTTGTAACCCTTTGCCCCTTGGGCCCTCTCCTGTCATAGCCGGGGATTTATAGATATTAAATTAGACAGGATTTTAACACGCGCACGTAACTTTGACATACATCAACCAGACTTAACTTTGCGCAAAAAATAAAAACAAAAAAGGTTAGAAAACGGTTGAAAAAACAATCTCAAACAATGCAAATTGTATGCCAAATGTTGAGATTTGTTTTGCTGACCGAACCAGAGTATAAAAGAAGTCGAATATATATATATATAAAACACACACATGTGTGTGTGTCCCAGCTGCTCCTCCTGTCTTCGTCTCTCGCCTGCGGTTGCCCCAATTCCAATCCCGAATCGCATTATAATCATAATAATAATAATAACAGTAAGCAAAGATGACAGCAAATTTCAAATAGGTGTGAAATGAAAATTCTGTTGTGTATAGAGATTGGTCAGCAGTTGGGAGCGGTGGGAGGATTTGGGTTAAAAGCGCTACAAAGTCACAGATGTTATGTGGCCAATGGGAAATTCAAATTTGGAAAAGGATTATTGACCAAATATTGGCTGCATTTCTGGGGTGGAATGGCTTGGATTTTGGTTGGGATTGCTTAAGTCTTGAGATTGAGACTCCGGGTGGGTTAAGTGTTTGAATTCGCTTTTGTTTAAGACAGTTGGTGTTGTATTAATTTTAATGTCAAATTAAAGTATTCTTAATCTTAATTACCTTATATATTAAGTAGGGTTTCATTGGAAAATAATTAAGGTATTGCAAGTAGACTTTAAAATAATATTTAAAAAAAAGGTAAAACCTTCCTATCAATATTTCATTTATAGTGCAGTCCTTTTTATTTTCCTGTTTTTTTCTTTGTATTCATATTTCAAAGCTTATTTATGTTTCCCAACACTTTTAAAAAGGTTTTCTTTCCAAGACCATCTTTTTTCAAAATTTACAATGCCCAGTAGCCATTGTCCACCTTGAAACATGCAACAATGAAATCATAAAGATTTCAGCTGCCTCCAAAGTAAACTCTTTTCCTCCACATACAGTTTAATGAACTGAGAGTGCGGGGGGCTATATCCCGCCCGTCCATAAACCCCAATCCCCTGACATTAGCCATGGCTATTTACTTTTCAGTTGGCTACAGACGAGCTCCGATTTTTTAGGGCCAACATGTGAAAGAAAATAAAAATCTCACAAATTATTTATTAATTACCCCGACACACAACCTCGCTTGATTCGAGTTGCTCAGAGGTTGTGGACCGAGAGTTAAAGCCAAAGTGTAGGCCTCAAAAGTAGTATTTTTCTCTGCTTATCGCTATTGTAAATTGTAATTTCTTCTTCTCCCCAGCCTCTTTCTGGTTTTCTATCTTCTCTTCTTTTTTTTTGGCACAATAAAACAATAAATCAATCACAGTTAGGACTGTGTGTTGTGTTTTTTTGTTATCTTTAACCAAGTTTTTAGTGTCTTGCTAGATTTTTTTAAGGGCTCAAATTTTAAAAGGCCTTGTAATAACACTGGACAAAATTTGGGGATAAAATAAACATTAATTTGCTATAATATTAAGTATAATAATAAATTACAAATAATACCAGAAAAGTACAAGATTTAAAAAAGTAAATTAACATTTTGCTGATTGTTTCTTATAATAAATATTATTATTTTAGGACAATTACTATTTATTTTAAAATATATTTTAATATTAATTTAACTAGTTTTTATTTTAATCAATAAAATTCTTCAAAATAATCTTAGTGTACATTTTTCCCCATTTTCTTTTTGAGATCTGTTAAGTGCGATAAAAGAAAATTCCATGACATGTTTTCTGCCATGCATAAATTAATATTGAATTGTCTAGATCAAAGCTAAAGATGCGGGCTGCTTAGGAAAAACATAAATAGTGAAAAACAAAGAAAAAGGTGGAACTTTCTTTAGTGGATTTAAAATTTTAGCAGTTAACATTTTTATGGAAGGAGCAAAGTCAATTAAATAGGGAACACAGTCGAAAATCAACAAGCTGTGGTGGAAAATTAAGTTTCTTCATAGAGAAAACTCACTCAAGCGTTGAGTTTCCATTCTCTCACTCACACTCACATTGATGCACTCATTCAACAATGGCGGCATCAATGGTTAACGGTCTGCTTGCTCTCTCGCTCTTGTGGGTGTGGCCTCCGTCGATGGTTTCATTTACCATTTCGTTCCTATGGCCGCTTACCACTTTGACTGAGTAAATTAAAATTTGGTGTAGTTTATTATTAAATGAAGCGCATTTTTGTATTTGTATGTGGACCGTCTGAATGTCCGTCTGTCTGTGTGCCAGTTTGTATGTGTGTGTGTGTGGGCATTGTGAGCAACAGCGGCATTTTTATATAGATAAACATAAAATAAATCGTGGGTCGTCGGTGGGTTAAGAGTGCCCCCCTTGGACGCAAGCCCGCAGACATAAGGCACATAATAATATTAAAATGTTAATTAGCGTATTAATTCAGTTCGGCGTTGAAAGAACAGTAGGGGGATGCCATTTTAGGGATATTAATTTTAAAGCATTTGAATTAGTTAAACTAATAATAATAATAAAAACTATAAAAACAACATGGTCCTCCAGAGAATGATTATCTATACCGTAATTTTCTGTTGAAAGTAAAGATTTATGTAATTACAACAAAAACTAAACGAACTTAAAAATATATTTTATAAAACCAATTGTAATATCACTTTTTTTATTTATTAAAAATTATTTAAAACTTCCTTAGTAAACCCTACCATCGTATTTATTACAAACCCCTTATAACTAGCAGCTCTTAATATTTAATAACCAATTTATACTACCCACATTTCCATTTTCCTTCAACATTTATTACTCTCATTTATTGCCAGCACAATTTTTAATTATTTAAATGAATAAAAGCCAAACGAAGAAAAAAAAACCAACAGCAGAGCCCGTTCTCAATATTTATAGCTTTTTAAACAAATAAACAGAGTTCGCAGTTCGCTGGCAAAAAGGCCACCCACAAAATCCCAGGGAAAAGCAGGAGAAACTCACGGAAAAACCCATGAAAATGCACTCAGAGTGGGAGGGGGCTAGAGAGAGACAGCCAGTGCCGGGATCAGTGGCGTTTCAGTCCCAGGCTCCAATCCGAATCCGAAATAGTTGATTTTAATGATGTACATAATAAAATTCCCATTCGTTTTGTGCCAATGCCACCGTTCCCCGTCTGCATTCCGCTCGTTCACACTGCTTCCGGTGGCTAGAGAGTGAGAGAGCGATGCCCTGATTTACTCACCAGGGAGTGCGAGCAGGTAAGTTAACCAGGCGACCATCTCGCTTGCACTCGCACTGGGCAGCCCAGCGATGCTGCGAGGGGTTGAAACGATTGAAACGATGCCCAGATTGTGCGACTGAGTCAATTTCGAAATCATTCGCCCGCTTGGCCAGTCAGTCGAAATTTTCTCGTAGGCCTAAACACACGCGGGTCTTCAAGCCGACTTTTCCGGCGCTTTTCCAAAAAGGGAAATACCAAAGCGAGAATCTGATCGGTGGATCTTAGTGTGGTTTTTCCAAAGGAAACCAAACACAGTTACGAACTGAACGTGAAATGTTATCGAAAGTCGTTATCGAAAAGTGCTTGTGAATTACGAACTTTAGATCTTGTGATCTTTGGTCTATTTGAAAACTAATTTGATCGGTTATGATTAACTTTAAAATCTAAAAAATAAAACTAAAAAAAACCTAGATTTTTATTTGTCAAGACTTAAAAGTGCCCATTAACAAGATCATTATGAAAGAAACAATAAATTAAAGAGCAAAACCTAAAAAATTCATCTTAAACTGCAAAGGATAATTCGCAGACTTGGAACTTTCGTAAATAAATCTGAATTTCTTCAATAAATGCTTTAAAATCTGTGAAGAAACCTGCTGAGATTGTAAATAAGAAAGCCTAGAACCACTAAAAACAAAAATAAAACACATTGAAAGACTATAAAAATATTGGAAAATCATCTAATACGTCGGAATATAAAACATAATATTAAAAATAAATATACATTTATAAATAATCTGCAATTGGAATACGGAAAACCACCTTATAGATTCAACAAATGATCAAATATTAATATAGATCTGCCATCTAAATATCCCCATTGGAAAAACCAGAGGATTTAAGATTCAAGATATATAAAAACTCTGCCCTTACCGATCCCAAGCTGGGTAGTCCATTCCTGAACACCACGCCGGCGGGTGGCAGCAGCAGCAATCCCTCGCCCTCGCCCACATCCACGCCTCCAGCGGCCTCATTGGACGCCAAGGTGGCGGCCAAGCAGCTGGCCCAGAGCTTCCAGCTGTCCGCCAACTCAGCCTTTAACTTGGCTTTGCCGCCGAGCTTCTACAGACAGCAATTACCGCAGCTTCAGCAGCAGATTCAGCTTCCGCAACAGCTCCCGGAGTGCCTGGACTATAACAACCACGACACGCCGGAAATGGACCTAATCAATCCGTATATGCGACACCACAGCTTTGCGGCTGCCGCCCAGGGGAGTCCTCCGTCGGCGGCGCAACGTCACCATCATTTGGCGGCGGCCATGAGCAATGGATTCGCCGATGTCCATGCCCATGCGATGGCGGCGGCGGATTACCAGCAGCAGCTGGCCGACTATCACAGTGCAGCCGCCGCTGCGGCCGTGTATGCTAATAATAATAATAGTAACAATAATAACAATAATAATAATAGTAGTAACAACAATAACAGCAGTCCACTGATGCTGCTGAAGGCGGCACATGGCAAGGACTCGGACTCACCATCCACCACGCCGCCGCCGCTTGCCTCCTCCCGTCTCCATTCCGACTCCTCGCCATCGCCGCGCTATGAGCACAACTCCAGTCCCGGTGTGGACAGTGCCAAGTCGTATGCCCTCAGCCAAAGGAGCAGTGGTGGTGAGGATCCTGGCCAGAACAGCGAGTCAGCCAGTCCGCCGCCTCAGGCAGTGGGTGATTTTAGTCCCGAGAATCTCAGCAGTCAGCGGGCCAAGTTCCAGCATCACCATCATGGCGTCAATCCGCTGGGCCACCACAGTGGGAATCCTGGACACCATCACCTCCACCTCAGCAATAACAACAATAATAACAGCAGCAGCAGCATGGATCACAAGCTGCCACTGAGTTTCCTGGGTCCCCCGCTGGCCGCTCTTCACTCGATGACCACGGAAATGAAGGGTGGCCAGGGCGGGGGTGTGGGTTCGTCGGGCAATGGTTTGTCCTATGGCCATAGTCCCAACTCGCATCTGATCAGCGATCGGGGTTCGGGAGGCAGCTCCTCGTCCTCTTCAACGACGGCCACCACCACGAATAGCCAGGGGGCGGCCAATCCGCATGGCATCGATACGATCCTGTCCAAACCGCCGCCAGTCACGTCGGCGGGTCTAAGTGCTTTAACGGGAGGTGAGAGAAGATGTTTATTTATAAAAGATTTTTTTAAATTATAATTTAGTTTGAGATTTAATTATAAAATTACAGGTAATAATTGATTTATATTTAACTTTATAAGTAATAGTTCAAAGTGATTGCCTTTCATAATCTTTTATGACAAATATCATCAACAAAATGTAAGAAAATTGCTACTTAATGATATTAGGTTTGTTTACTCACATTAAAAGCTCATTTTATGCTTATTTTTGATACATTTACGATACTTTTTTACTTGATGAAAACCTTTTTTGTAGATTTTTCTAAGACTGTATAAAAAAGATCCTTATAAAAATAATTTTTAATGATAGTTTTGTTTAGAAAATACTTTTAAAATCGCCTAACTCAAATACTTTTATTTCAAATTACTTGTCTAAACCCTTTTTAAATGATCTAATAATTTCAAATGACGCTTCAAAGGATCTCTTAACTACCAACCCCGACAACCTCTTACAATTAACTCTCATAAACCCAATTCAATTCAACAAATTGTTATGCAACATTAACAAATATATATATTATATACGAATCAATAGATAGCAGACACACAAAACGCGAAATATTTTAAATGCTTCAAAAACTCGTTTCGCAAACCAAACAAAAAAATTATACATATGTATATATAAAAGAAAGAAAATGTGTGTGTTTTGTTTACGAATCCGGTTTGGCATGATTCCATATGATTCAATAAAGGCAATTTCAATTCCAATTCCCCCTTGGTCATTATGTGCTGCTGCTGCTGCTGCTGCTGCTGCTGTTGCTCCCCCCAGAAAAACCCTTTTACCTAATCAGGCCAATTTCAGTTATTGGGCACAGCCGAAAATTGTTATAATATCCAATTGCAAAATTACCACAAAACGTAATAAGATACGCGTTTTAACGTTAAATGTTGCAGCAATTAGTTGTCAAATTGTTTGTAATTAAATCAAAATGACACACGAAAAACGTGGGCAATCTACCATGGACTTTACGTGTATTTGTGACTAAAATGATTTTGATTTTGTTTTTTTCTGCCTTTTTGGGTCTCTGAATTTTTTGACAGTTAAATGTGGACCAATTGTGAGCCATGACAAAAGGAGGGCTAGAGGGGCGGCCAACGACAGGGTGCTGACAATTTGCCATAACATTTTTAATTATTTTTAACGAGGGCGTTTATGTGATTTGATTCGTCAATAGTTTTTTCGTTTTTTCTTTTTCAAATGCTTTTTGGTCAACAAAAATGTTTCTCATTCTTTTTATGACAAATTATTTAATGGCTTTTAATTAATTCGAACAGAAATCCGCATTGTGTGTGTAAGTTCCGAATGAGTGGGCACAAAATTTGGCCAACTGAGAACAAATTGAGCGAAAATCTCATGAAAGGGAAACGCAAACCTCTTTTTTAGAGGATTAGTTAATGGCTTGATAGAGATTATATAACCGATCATGAAGTGGAGCAATTTAAAAGTGACAATAACAATTGATAGAGTCTTGAAGAGAAGGTGATCTTTCGGGTATATTTTTTGTTATATTATTTTTAATCATTTTTATTTGATTTTAAAAAATGAAATAAGACTTTTGATTACTATAATAATAAATAAATTTTAATATCAACACCAAAATATTATTATTTTAACTTCCTATAATATAAGATTCAACAAATTTGTATAAGCTGTAGAATTCTGTTTCTTTTCCTTTTTAATTTTTTTACTAATTTATGAATTTTCCTTCCTATATCCTTTATAGCTGGTATACCCCGCTTCTCAATTGCCGCCGCCGCCGCTGGCATGGCCCAGTATCTCTCACAGAGCCAAGGTGCCCCCCTGAAGACCCATGCTGGCCACATTGTGGATCGCACGCACCTGTACTGGCCGGGATTGCAGGGATTGGTGGCCAATCCGATTGCGTGGCGCGAGCGACTTTCCAATACAAGTGAGTAGCGAGGGGAAATTATAAAAGTACACTGAAGAAAAAGGGTCTATTTAAGATTATTTTAAAATATTTAAAATATATATATAATTAGATTATTTTAAAATATTAAAAAAAAATATATATATACTGGGAAAATTGAGAATTGCTTTTAGAAAATTATATGGCATATAAATATTCCTTCCCTTGTAAATTGTCCCAAAAATATATGGCAATCGTTACTGGACAACCGTTAATTTGCAATTGATCAGATATCGATCGGAAATCGATGCAATCAGAAAGCGTTGAATCAAGCGCGTAATTTGGTTACAATTGTCATCAGCAGTCGCCACGCCTCGTTGCGATTTGGACTTCCTGCTCAGAAAAAAAAGGGGGTTTTGGAATGGGTATTGAACTGCCATCGATCGGGAACCGTTAACAAAGCGCAGCGAATGCCCAACTAATGATCAGGGGCTTGATCTCAAGTGATTACCACCAATATGGCTTACAACGGGGGCAGGCTGCAGGCAGTCCAGTCAGTCCGTTCGTCCATTGTCCGACTCATTAATAAGTGTTGAGGAATCACTTTGACACGATCAGAGAGAGGGTCTGCGGAGAGCTCTCGCAGAATGACTCCACACAAAAGTCGATAATGATGGCACCGCATCACCGCGCACATATGAAAAATTAATTTACTACTTGGTCCCCTGATTTCTGATTTCTGATCTGGTTACTTCATTATTACATCTATTTATAGGCGAGAGAGCGCGCTAAGCTCATTAAGTAATGGAACTCGTTTTCCTTTTTTTTATTTATTTATTTGTTTAAAGGGGAAGCAGGGAGCAGTGAGCAGTGAGCTCGAGCTCCATGATCGTCATTATCGCCTTCTGGTTCGCATTGGCAATTGATTTGATTTAGTGCTGTGGGGCTACTGCTGCTGTTTGCCTTTTAATTGCGGCCATGACTCGGCAGAAAGGTCGTGTCTTGACCACAGAAACTCGGAAATCGTTCATAATTTTTACACCTAAAGTGAGAGGAGGAGGAGGAGAGAGATTCATCGAGATCCATGGCACAGCCTCCGTGTTTATGTTTATCTTGTGTTCGATTTGATTTCTGAAGTGTGTCGTTAGGTGGTTGTGGAATTTTCACGCTTGTGGTAGCTACGTGGCCAACATAAAGCAAATATTGATTTAATTGATTTGCTAAACAGAGCAGCAACTTTAAAAAGTAAAGAAAAGGAGGCTGAAAGTGAGGGAGTTTGACTAAAAGGAGCACATGTTCTGGGATATATATAAAAATATTTATAAAATAAATAACAAGAGTAGGGAAGTAATTACATGGATAAATAAATATTCTTTTAAATCAAGATCAATATAAAATTCAATATTCATCCTTCTTGCAGATACTTTTTATACTTTTATCTAAAACCTTAAAGCTTCTCTCTCTTAACTTGATGTTAAATCCTTCTCTTTTCCTCCACATAAAAATCAATACCTTTATGTATTCAAGATTCCCAACTTGAGACTATAACAAGCCATAAAAATAAAATAGAATTTGAAAAGCATGTTTCAATTGTCATGTTTGCAACCGGGCTCATTGTTTCCACATCATTTCTGTTTTGGTTAACTTTGTTGCCCACGTAAAACATTCTCGCCTTTCCCTATTTACATAAACATTTATTCCTCTCCTTGTATATACATATATCTATTTTTTATTTATTTGTGTATATACGTATTTATGGCTGCAAAGATGCGACAGCTGTTGGTTCCAGACGGAAAGAAGTTTTCCTAGCTGTTAAAGCAGACTGCCTGTACATATACAAAAGTATATACATTTTTTTTTTTTTTTTGTATATATATAATGTATATAGGAAGATAAGGGCAGACACAGACTTGGGGAGAATATGTTGCCACATTATTATCTGACGACGAGGACGGGGTGGTTTCCTTTTGCTTTATTTTATTCAGCTTTTTTTTCGTCCTTTTTCTATCCCGAAATGGAGCAACATATAGGTCTCCCTGGGTGTGTGTGTTTATGTGCTTGTAGGCTGTCATGTTAACAAGAAACAAGAAAGCTTTTCCAGCGTGTGCGCACAACCTACACACACAAAACACACCTCCTGCTTACCAACATGGCCGTGTATATTTAAATACTGTATTTGTATTGCCTGCTGCCCTCGAAAGTGTGCTATGATTTTATTTTATTTTCCCCTTCTTTTTGTGTTTTTTGTCAACACATTTTATTTGTTATTAATAATGCAATTGCATTTGATTAGCTTTTTGCGGCATTATTTACTCTTTGATTAAGCCCCGGAATTTTTCATTTCATTTGGTTGCAATTGCCTGAGCTTATTTCCACCTGTTTATTGTTATCGTTGCGATTATTTTGATTGTTTATTATCAATATTTGCCAGGCAATTCATTAATGGCAATTTATGGGCTTTCAATTTATGCAAGTTCATTGCGGAATTCTCATATTCATAATGATTGAAATGGATTAAGTTGGCTTACACAACGCATTGAAATTGTTATCAGTGATTATTCATGAAAGAGAAGGGTTAGTTTATCGTTGTGGGTATATCGATTATTTATCAAATGGGTCAGTAGAAGAAAGTATTGATAATATTAGTCATCACAAATATAAATTTAGAAATTTAATAGTTTTAAATTAGAGTTTAATTTGCAAAATGCTATTTATATTAAAAAACCTTTAATTATAAATTCCCTAAATTTCCTTGGTGTACTCAAACATTTATTTATATATTCCTGCCACATTTTGTTATCAAAACAGGACTCTCTCTCTCACTCGCTTCCCTTTTATTCATTAAAAACAAAATTAAAATAAAGCGAGGCAACCGCATTCTGCTAATGAAATAATTAACTTGAACATAAAAAGTAAATACAGGGGGGGAGGCTGGTGGGATGATGGACCATAAAGCCTGCCAGAACAGGATGGCAACAGCAACCGCAGTCGGCGTTTGACACAATTCATTAAGCTTAATGAAGACAGCCGAGTGAGACGGCACGAGCCTGCTGTCTAGCTGTTGCGTTTAATTAAAATTCAAGTGGCATTTTCTGTGTCATCCCCTCTGGAGTTTCCCCTCGGAACCCGGTGAAACTTGTGCTTTAAGCATATAATCGGGCATAAAACAGGCCATAAAACATTGCACAAGGCTCCACCAGACTGAGACGGCAACAGTGGCACTTAATGAGCCAGCAGCAGACCACCTGTATTTCGCATATGTATGTATATCCCTTACCTGTGGGGTGTATAAAAAGGTGCGGATTATCCGCCCCACAACTTTTCTGCGTGTGTCTGTCTGTGTATTTTTGTGAGTGAGTGTGGAATTTTACTGCTCAGCAACCAGATTGGCATTAACATTTTACAAGATTGTTATATCAACGTGAGAAGCGGCGGGAAATGATTAAGGTCTCTGGCTGCCAGAAGGAGCCTCCTTTTTCACATTGATTTATAACAAGGACAAACATTTTAATTGGCTGGTAATTTCGCAGGTTTATTGTACAATTTTAACGAGTGCTTAAACTATTTGCCAGGATGATGGTTTTGCTTATTAAAATTTTAAGTTATTTCGAAGATATTTGCAAGCCAAGATTACAAGTAAAATGTTTTGCAATTTGAATTTAATTTTAAAGCTTATTAAACAAATTTAAGAAGAAAATTATTATTATTTTTGTAGAGTCTACACAAAAGTCCCTTAGCTATTCCTTTTCATTCTTCTATATTTTCTTTAAATGATCTCTTTTCTCTCAACATTTGTTGTTAACGATTGTCTTGCTTTGAGTCAGAAAATACCCTCATCCCATCTCATAATGTTATAAATGCCTTCCTTAATTTTCCTGCCATAACGCTCGATAATAAATGACATTTTAATATTTTCAATAAGGGAAACATTTACACAAAACAGCACACGCCCACCTTGACTTCAGTTTACCACCCCGGAGAAAAAAAATTATTAATGCCGATAAAAAATATTGGATTTAGAGAGGAAATAAATACGGAAACAGAGGATTAGTGTAAGAAGTCGAAGTGTAAATACACTCACTGTGCTTATTAAAATAAGGAATTAATAGAAATAATAGAATATAAAATATCAAGACAAATATAATTATTTTAAAATGATAAATCAAATAAATTATACAATAATTTAATATATTTTCAAACCACAAAATATTTCCAGCATAAAAACTTTAAATTGTAGAAGGTTTTTATGTTTCTTAAACTGATTCTTTCTCTTTATAAGCCCGAAAATTAATTATTTTAATTATTTTCCCTTATCAACTTTATATTGATCAAAACTATATAGTCAAGTATGGACTCTAATCAAAGTTAGGGTATAAAAACTCATCGAATTCGACTGGAAAAAGTGCAAATGCAGCGATGCCAACAGGGTGACTTATGCGATTATAGACAACTGCCGCTGACTGAGTCAACCGGCGGAAAAGCGGGGCGTTCAGCAGATAAAAAGGGGGCAGCAGGAGGAGGCCACATTGCTCGCTACCATTTCCATTTCCATTTTCATTGCAGCATTGCTTTTAAGGGCCGTGACATGAGCAAATAAACGCTTCATATTTGTCGGTTATTTATGAGGGTCCTTGCAGGACGCAGCTGCCAACCGCCGAGCAGCGCTGTGCTGCCGAAAGAGAATAAAAAAAATTATCACTGCTACAATTTTTCTTGCAAGGGATTACGCTTGTTACAATGTGGATGTTCCAGGACCCCCCACAGCCGAAGGGACATCCTATTCTCCCCCTTTATTGACAAGACTTGTTAAGCTCCAGAATTGTCTGCGAAAAGCTAAAAAAAAAAATAAATGAATATAGGAAAAAACCAAACAAAACAAATAAGGACGTATATATTTAATGTCACACACATTTTTATTTGAAGCGGGCTTTTTGTTTTCATAATTCGACGAGCAGGACAATCAAACTGGGACAGAAGTAGCAGCTGAGATGGAAATGGAAAAGCTGGCTTTGTGGAAAAAGAATAAAGATTTGATAAGATGCAGGATGCACTTTAACATTAGGCTTTAGGGATTTTTGAGTTAAATAATCGTTAAAATCAAAATAAAATCCTTTGGACATAGCTAAATTTATTCGGCTGTTGTTGCTGATTAGAAATATATATATTTATCTTCTGACTGAAATTATGAATATCCCGCAAGAATATAAATATGCTCTAAATGGTAGTTGAACAAATGAATAGTTTTTTCAATTATTCTTATATTTTCTTCATTAAAATCCAATTTGAAAAATATTTTTAAAATATTTAAAAGTTATTCCAACTAATTTTCACATTTTCCTGAATTCCTTAAACTTGTTTTTACATTTTCTCACCTTTAAATTTTAAAATTTTCTTAAATTACATTACTTTATCCCTCATTTCCCCACTCTTTCAACCCTTCAAGACCATTTTTCATAGTGCAGGGTTTAAGCAAAAATACAAAAAATAACCTTATCTATATGAAAGCTGTTAGAAATAACAATTTAAATTAATAATTCTGAGCAAATGGCACCAAAGTATCATAAAGGGACACAAAGTTTCAGACCCAGAGTTTGCACACACATACCCAGCCCAGCACACCCTCTCCTCCCCACCCTTATTTTTTTGTGTGTTGAGGACAACGGCTGTCTGTGGCTTTACCTTTTTACCGGAACTCATTTCCCTTCCGGGTTGGGTTCGCTGCGTCGTGCATATTTAGTTAAATCATTTCACATAATTAGGGATCATTTAATAATGGGGTGACATTAATTGAAAGCACACACACACACACAACCCACCACCGCCCACCAGTAGCCACCCCCTTACACTGCCCATTCCCACGGCTACCGTTTAATTTTATGGCCACCCTCCTCTTCCTCCTTCTCCTCCTCCACCGCCCATGTCCACTTGACTGACTTTACGAGCCAAACGGGGCACGTAGCTCCCCCTGCCAACGCCCCTGAATAATACCCCTCTGGAGGAGTGGGCGTGGTCTGTTTTTGGCCCACTTGCCTCTCTTTTATTGGCCTCTTGCTGCGGCGGGGTCGTCGTCATCGCTTTGGCTAATTGATTTTAATGAAGGCTCCCGACGACGACGACGACGACCCTCGACGGCAAAGTTTTTGGTCCTCATCCTTCGCTTGTCGTCCTACCATAAATTGCTGCGGTCAATTTCGGTTTGTTAATTGGGCAAACGTGTGCATAGGGATTTTTTTCTGCTTTCATTTGGAAGCAAAATATATATTTTGTAACCAATTAATTAGTGTGCAATTATTATACGGTTGGAAAAAATAATATGAGCTAGAGGAAGATGTTGTAAAACTTTTGGGAATCTTAAGTAATATTTAGAAATAGGAATCCAAGAGTTTATATATTAAAATTATAAAAGAAATAAGAGTTTCTCTTGAATATTATTTAAATAAAATATAAAGAATTCAAGAATTTATAAATATACATTTTAGATATAATTTTGGGTACTATTTCAGTTATCATTTCATGTAAGTTAACAACCCCTAAACACCTTTTCCAGTGTCTCCCTTTGTGTCGCCCAAAAACTTTCTTCTTCTCAAATTAGCAGCTGTCGCCTCGTAAACAATTAATAAATGTCAGGAAAAGTTTTCTGCCGCAACAAGGAAACCGATTTGCAACCACCCTTAGGATGCGCTAACAACTTTGTCCACATCTTTACGATGCGACATTATTTAACAATTCATAATTACACATTTTTTGGGGGAGGTGTACACATTTTGGAGAAATGCTTGTAAACAAGGTACTCAAAGTGTTTTAATTGTGGAAATATGAAAAGTTTTTGGAGCATTATTGAAAGGAGAAGAGAGTTACTCAAAGAATGAATAAAGTGAAAAATTAACTGAACAAAAAATTTAAATATATTTTTGAGATTGTAAGCTAAATAAGCATCGTTTTTATAATAATAAATAATTTTTTAACCCTTTTACAGTGTCCGCCAATCTGTCCCAGTCTCACCAGCATCATCCTTCCAACGACAAGGATGGCAAGAAGAAACACACCCGCCCAACATTCAGTGGTCAGCAGATCTTCGCCCTGGAGAAGACATTCGAGCAAACCAAATATCTGGCCGGACCAGAGCGTGCCAAGCTCGCTTATGCCTTAGGAATGTCCGAGTCGCAGGTTAAGGTAAGCAAAAGATATATCCTTTAAAAGAGATTCTACTCAAAACGCTGGCAAATGCAATTAAAAACTCATAAAAATGGCGGATCCCAAACAAAAAAAGAGAAACTGACTCCCAAAAAAAAGGTAGACGGGACTAAGACAAACTCCTCTTATTTTACCCCTGACTTTTCTCGAAAATTTACATTTTTATTGAAAGGCAAATCTCATGGATTTCCAGCCTTACCCCGAAATACAAAATGGCGCCAATGGGTCTCGATGGTGCCCATTCCCCCCTCCGGGAAAGGACCTCGTCCCAAAGGCTTAGTGCAATGTGTCGCTGGAAACACCGTTTTAAAGTTCCCATTTTTTTTTTTTTGGTTACGAAAAAACGAGGGAAATGTTATCAACAAATAAATCCTTTGTGTCGTCAAATTTGTTGTCATCAACTTTTGTTGTAATCCGACCCGGGGAAACGCACGTGTCACGGTTTCCGTCGCGTGTGTCGTTCGGGATTTCGTATCTTCCACCGCTCAGCATCCGTATCTGTATCTGTATCTATAGCTGTAGCTGTATCTGTATCTGAGCGTTGGTCTCCTTCACGCTGGCCCCTTAATTTTGAATTAGTTGTAAGCCGGGAAAAGTTAATTGGGTTGCGGTGAGTTTTTAAATCGTAAATTGTGAGGGAAAGAGTTGGGGAGTGTTATGTTCTATTTTAATATTAAAATATACAAGTTTAAAGTATTTTCTTTAATTAACTAACAAGAAAATATGGCTAAAAAATATTGAAAAGTATTTAAAATACTTTAGTTTTAAAGCTAAATAAATATAAAAACCCTTTAGATTTTACTCTTAAATACTTTCTTAAAAAAAAACCCCCTGTAATTACTCTAATTCCTCGAAATCACTTGACTATCATTGACCGTGCTTTCCCAATAAGATTTTCTGATTAGAAGGACATGATTGCCTCATTTGGGCGACATTTCCCCCTAGATTTCCCATTTCCCCCCACCAAAAGGGAAATCCTTTTCTCGCCACACAACTGGGCGCAGTTTGGGAGTGGAAAAGAAATCACGTTTATGATGAGGAAAAATGATTAATTGCCAAAGAATGAGGCACATCGCAGAGTGTGAGAGTGAGAGAGAGACACAGACACTGAAAGAGACAGCAACAGGGACAGGAATAGAGATAGATAGATGAACATTCAGGATTGATGGCTTGAGCTGCAGCTAAATATGCGTCATTTTGTGCTAAGGACTAAACAGGGAGATGCTGGATGGAGCCACGGGGGAAAGCGGAGAATGCGCTGATGACGAGTACAAATGGACAGAGAGATGGATGGAAACTGCAGGATTTCGGGTTGAATTTCGGCTCTCAATTTTCCTCCCCCTCAATTTCCCCCCCTCGCTTTCTCTTCGCGCTGTCTCAACTTGCCTCGTCTCGTCGCCCTGATAGACATGCCAAATGACTGCATGACTTTTGGGTGAGTGTAAATTAAATTCTGGACCCGGGATGGCACGAAATGCACAAGGGGACATGGTGGATCCATGATGGCCAGCCATCCTGCCAGCTTCATACATATTCAATTAGTGTGCGTGCATATGTGTGTGTGTGTGTGTGTTGGCCAGAGTCAGAGAAGGATGAAAAACAGCCATGACGATGATAGTATGCAAATTGACAAACAAAAAGGCACAAGCCGGACAACAGCCGCCCCCAAAAGCCAAGCCAAATTATGACAGACAGACAAAATGCAAAGTGGACGAGGGCACTGAGAGAAATTGAGTAGTCTTTGAGGGTTTTTAAGAAATGCTAAGAAGTAAAATAAGACTTATAACTGCCAAAGGTTAAAATATTTCTGAAATCAAACAAATAAATAAGTTATACATTTTTAAAAAACACTTTTAAGGGAATTTTGCATTACATTTCGGTGCTTATAATTAAATTCCTTAAATAAAAATATATTTTTAAAAATATTTATAAGTAATCTAAAGATCTTGGAACTACATTTTCCTTATATTTAAATATTTATTTCACATTTTCTTTGTGTAAAGTTTTAAATTAGATTTATTTTGAGAGAAATTCTGAAATTTCTGGAGTTTTATTTTTATTTCTAAAATTAAGATTTATAAAAAAAATATTTTTAAAACTTATTTAAAAATCTCAAAAATATATCTGCCTAAAATTAAAATATAAGCTTCCTCCCTAAATCTTTTCTTTGTGTTTTCTTAGTTCTATTTTCTTAACTTCAAAAACTAATTTCTTGCAGTGCCTGCATATGGACGTGGGTGGTTGGCCAAATGATCTTGACAAGAATAATTGCGCTGTTATCATAATTAAAACCGTTTTTGGACACAGCCAGAGAGGGGGGCCGAGAGCGAACTCCTTTCGTCCTTCGTTTTAGCAATCATTTAATGCAAATGGTCGCCATTTTGTACGCTCTTATGAGAGGAGCCCCAATCCGGTGCTGCTCTTCCCCCCGAACTCTCCCTTCCGCCGCCCAGTGAATTATAGCGTCTGTGGCCATTATTAATGACATACCATGTGTGTGTGTGGGTGTGTGGCTATAGTTAGGAAGAGGTCCACTCCGGGCAATAAAATTATTGCATGCTTTGTTGTTATAGCTTTTTCGTGATTTTTGCCCGCTTTCAACTCTTGTTTTGCATAAATGTAATGGCATTTTTGGGGTCCGGGTTCCTCTCTGATTGTTCAGTCAATGTATGTAAACACTTTGGGATTGGGATTGTTTTGCAAATAGTACACGGTAGGTGGGTTGGGAATAATGGCCAGAGAGAGGGAGAGAGCCTGCTGCCATTATGTGTAATTGGCTCAAAGCAAAAGATAATTTGGGGAATTAATTAAATGGGAGGAATGGGGAAATATTTCAGAAAATTTTAATGGATGGAAATATAAGAAAAGATGGGGTTTGGAATTTTGTTGTCTTTAAATAAGAATCTTGTGAATGTATTTTAATAAATTAAATAATTCTTTAGCAAATTCAAAGCTGACTTTGTTAGTAAACCTACAAAATGCAGGCTTTAAAATAATTAAAAATATCTAAAAACAACTTTACAATCGACTTTGCTAAGCTCACAATTAAAAACGATTTATAAATCGATTTCACCCTGCATAAAATCAACTTGGAAATCAGCTAAATCTGACAAATAAACACTTTGAAGTATAAAATTCAAAGCTTTTAGCATAAATATATCCAAATCAAGATTCTATTCAGCATTTCTAGGAAGCCATCAGGCTGCCATAAAAGACTATTTTCAGGAATCCAGCTAAGTGATATCGGTCGTAATAGGAAACAATATTTTATTATGGCTAAAATGCCTCTTTACGATCTGTTACTCTCGATGAGACAAAGAGCGGACCGCATAATTAGCACCAGAATAATGAAAGCTTATGGAACCGAACTCGAGGCGACTGTCAGAAGTGACAGTTTTGGCAATGACAATGCCCGACGAGAAGTGACAGGCCAACAATGGTGTGGCCAGTTCATAAAAACTTATGACAGAAATTTGAAAATAATCTCTAATTGATTTTCCTCGGCAAACCCAACAAGAATTCCATTGTGGCCGTCTAATGGATTTGATTGTGTGTTAATGAATGGGGGTTACCTTTTGGAATTTACATATTTGAAGACGATTTCTAGGGTTGCCCAACAATTAGTCAAATATCCCAGAAAAAATTCAAAAAAAACCAAAGAGCAACAGAAATCAAATACATTTTTATGGCACTGCTCGAACCATGAGTTGGCTTCAAGTTTATGGCTACAAAATACAAAATCAAATAAATCACAAACTCACATAAATACGGAAAGCGAGCCCATATAAGGAGCGAGGGCGAGCCGGCCATACGAATTCGAAAATTTACGATCCAGAACTACAAAGCACACACACTCAGAAATACTCAAATAAATAAATAAAAAACTCTGTGGACCAATAGGAACAAATAAAACAAAAAAAAGCAGGAGTGAGACAGGAAAAAGGTGAACGAGGTAGAAGCCAACTTGTCAGGGTCGATGTTACCAAAAAGGCATTGGCCAAGCGCAGAGTGTGTGTGTGTGTGTGCATTGGCCATGTTGTAAATTTTCATGACTTTTAAGTATCCTCCCCGCACAGGACGCGTAAACAAATAAATTTCCAATTTGCCCAAAGAGTCATATATTTCGATGCCGAGGGTTTTTGGTTTTGACATTCCCCTCTGTCCGTTCCTACGAAATTTACATAACACTTTTTATCCTTATCTGTGGTGCCCACCTGACGGATGGCCCAGGAAACAAAGGGCACCTCCGGACCTCCGACTCTGACACCGCCGACTCCAAAACTCCTCTCCCGCTGTGGTGCCAAAATCGAATATGTTTTATAACATTTTCCCTTTTTGGTAGAAGGTGGAGGTGCTATCCCGATCCTGCCGCCATAAATAAATCCCAAATACGAATTGGAAGCGTAACGTAACGTAACGTGACCAAGTCAAATTGATTGCCACAATATTTGATTGACTTTGACATGTTGGCTGTCATAAATTGTGTGCTGTTCCCTTGACCATCTCCTGGTTCCAACAGAATTTGGCTATCTGTACCTGTCTGTACCTGGCAAAGGCGGCTTCTAAGTTCTTTGCCGATTTTTTGTGGTCATAAACATTTTGTGGCAAGCATTTGTGAAATTTCAGTCAGGAATTATAAGGCTTAGAACACCTAAGACATGAAAATGGGACTCTAATAAAGTGAATTTAATACATTTAAATGAAGAAAAGGGTAAATAAAAGTAAATAATTAAATTAAGTTGCCTGCCAAAACATTTTTTTATTAAATTAACCTGTTTTCTTAGCTACAATTTTAATATATATTCCACAAAAACCTTACTTAAAATATATATAAATATTTCTCAGACACATTTTAAAGTATCTCCATAAATTTAAACCCAACTAATGCCTCTCAACTTCAATATTTTTGCCCTGAAAACCATTGGCAATCTGTTGTCAAAGAATCTCACTCAACCAACGGCCACATCAACTATGCTTTAGTGGGTGCTAGATGACGCACTCACCATTCGCAATATGATGACGACCAAGTGGAAGTGGAGATGGAGAGGAAAAACCTAGGGAAAAGCTAAAGGAAAATGCTAGAGGAAGCCCGCCACTTGCCCCACAACTTGCTCAATATTCCGTTTTTACCCATGGCTCAGTGGCAAATCCCGTAACAACATGGACACAGATGTTACCAAAAAATAATGACCATGAAAAGCAGCCTTAATGATGCCGGCTAATGTTGTTGTTGCCGCCGTGTTGGCTGCTGTCTGTTGTTTTTCCGAAAAGGACCAAGACACAGGCAGGCACTGTCTGCTTTTCCACTGCGGCTTGTAACACACGGAAAATATTAATTGTATTTTTATTTCGCATAATGTTGCAAATAATAATTACACAAATGTGCAAATGAAGTTGTAAATTATCCAGTATCTGGTTTAATTGCACCTTTGGGCTGTTGTTTTCTCGACGTTGATTTCGTCAAGGTTATGGGTTCGGGGGGGCAGGAAAATGTTTAACAAAAATGGTTATGACCATGGTCTGGGATAGGTAATTACGTTGATCTGTTGATAGGGCATAATGGAAATTAACTGAAATGTCAATAAACTCTTAAGGTAACTTTTCCAAATGAAAATACATATTTAATATACAATATAGATGAAGAAAGTCTTCTCTAAAATATCTTTTACATAATTTTAAATCAAATAATTCCCTTTAAATTCATAAAATCCCAAATCTGAACAGAAACTCCAACACTAAATGCCCATTTATAGGCTTTGTTAATGATTCTAACTGCAAACAGCTACCAAAAATCTGCTCCATCATCAGGCAAATGTAGAAATTATGCCGATTTTGAGGCAGCACACGCTTTCGAGGAACAAGGAACAAGCTGCAAAACGTGACTGGGCCTTGGGGTGTGTTGGTGAATCCCCTTTTAAAACAGCCAGAAGATGGAGAAAGAGTGAGGGGGAGGGTGGGAAATGAGGCGGGTTTTTGGCCAACATATGTTGCCACAGAGCGAGGAAAACGAGGCCGGGCAAAATGAAGCGCAGCCAAAGACGTTAGTCATGGTTTTGTGCATAGTTTTTGCCGCTGAAACAGTTGCTGCTGCCGGGCAACATTTCGCCATTTGGCTGCCCAGGGCTTAATATTGTCTTAATTGAGGGTTAACCGGCGTTGATGATGCGACTTATGGGCCCACATGCCCACGCCCTCGTCCACGATCCCTTCCTCTTGGCCACTTAATGACTTTGACAATGTGGCTCGCCTAATTACACATGCAGGGAGCTTTCGACTTAAAACTTGAGTTTCTTCTAGGGATGGACTAGAAATATAGATGTTTAAAATTGAATTTCGAATAAGAGTTTTATAAGGAAATTTCGTTTACTTCATGTGTCGAACTATGGCAATTCACTTATAGAAATCAAAATGTACTTTAATTTATCGGATTAATCGATCAAAATTTATTGACAGGGACTTTCGATCATTTTTTAAATATTTTAATATTAATCGAATACGTTTTTTGTTTAAAAAGACCCCAAAAAATATAAAATATGTATCGATTTACAATTATAATGTCGTTTACACCTTTCATTTATAATTTAAAAATTGTTTCCCTGTCAATATGTGTTGTTCAAACGATTTTTTCGATTAAAAATCCTTATCGATACACAAATTGTTTCACTATATTTGTCCATCCCTATTTCCTAAATTGCTGGAAACCCACTAAATTGAAATTTCTTTGTTTCGTTTTGCAGGTCTGGTTCCAGAATCGTCGCACCAAATGGCGCAAGCGGCATGCGGCGGAAATGGCCACCGCGAAGAGGAAACAGGACGACATGGGTGGCGATAACGATGGCGATTGCAGCGAGACCATGGACAGCGATAACGAAAGCATCGACTTGGGGGAGTCCCCCGCCCAGAGCAAGAGATGTCGCAGCAATAGCTCCGGCTCCTCGCAGCAGCAGCAGCAGCAGGATAATTATCGCCATTAAAACGAATTTACAAACTACGGACGAAACTCGCAATGAAATGGAATGGAATACACTTAAAATAAATTTCAAAGCGCCAGCTAATTAGCTAGAGAGAACCCAGCAGCCAAAAGCAGCAGCAGCAGCAGCTAAACACACTTGCAGCTAAATTATTCGGGTTTGAGTTTTAAGGTTTTGCCACTTTACCGTCTTCTGAAGACTTAATTTTTTCCCTCTGTCTCTTGATAATTTCCCCCCTTTGTTTATTAGGTGTGTAAATATTTATGTTAATTTTATACAAATAAAAAAAGAATTACCTTTAATATGAAGCTTAATTAACGTCGCTAATTGGTAAGGCACAAGCACAAAAAATTAAACTGAATTTATTACATATTGTATGTTTAGTTTTTAAACCCTAACTTTAATGTAATTTCGTGCATTAGAAGAGACCTTAGTTCATACATTTAAAATATATATATATAAACTATTAACGATTAACTATGCTAACTGAGATTGCGCCACACAATATTCACAATATTGATGATGATGACACTGAACGCGAAAGACGATTGATTAACTATTGCAGTAAATAATATGTAAAATGTACTTAAATTAAATTAAATTGTAATTTTAATTATTTCGAATTGATAAAAACAAAATAAAATGCAAGGAAAATATAAAATTTAAAGTGAAAAGTTTTTTTGAATGGGTTGGAAAAGGGAATAAATATAAATTAATGAATTGTAGAGTCTAGGGTTTTTATAAATATTTTCTAAAATAAATATATCATTGAATCTGCAACTATAATATATAAATTAAACTCTAGTTTTCTCTACTGATTTAATGAATTATTCAAATCAGGCCAAGTTTAAACCCTTACCTCCGACACAAAAATTTTGGTAAGGTGCAAGGACGACCAAGAATGACCTATGAATTGTTCGACTAAATCCGATCAGCCAACTCCTACAAGAGAATTAAGAAGTGATTCTTCTTACGGCTTAAAACTCATAACAATTACAGACCGGAAATCTGCTTTAGGCACTCCTCTACTGCAGTCAGTCAGTCAAACGACAATCCGTCAAGCGGACAAAGTCAAAAGGATTAACTCGAAAGTATTTCTTCTGGCCAACAAGGTGCAGACAAACAACCGAAAACGGAAAAAATGTATGAATGAACGTCACCGAAGAATAAGGGAAATGTGTGAAAAGAATCAAACCAAAAACCATAAGATTGATTAACTGTCAATCAAGTGAGCATATGAGTAGAAGACATGGGACAGCCAAATGAATGGAATCGAAGCAGGTTCAACGGGGCGAAATAACAATAAATATCATTAAATTATGAATGCCGCCCCTTCAATGTGGTAACACAAAGTAGGAATGCAACAAGCTGATATAGTAATGATGGGAAGTCTAGGATGAAAGCGTGAATAAGGAGTTTATAGTGTGACTAAGGTAATGAATAATAAAGACACTTTTATAAACTTAAAATATAAAAAGAAGAGTCACCCAGAAATCCCATAAAATTGTGATGTATCTGAGAGTTATTCTTGCTTCTAAATACCACCAACGACTCTCCTCTCTCGCAACCATTTCAAATGAATTTCGAGTGAGTAGCTTGGCCTATCCGCGACTCATTGAACTGAAACTGGCTAATGACTCTATGGGGCACTGACTGTTGCAACTACCGAACTGCCATTGTTGACTCGCATCTAATGGAGCACCCACATTAATCATGCTTTAAACAGCGAGTGCAATGGCAAACAATCGTAACTCTTCTCTGTATTTTCCTTGGGTTGAGGGGAATGGTATAGCTTTGGTTTCGATTCAAAATGCCATTAGCATACCGGCGATAATTACCTAGGGGAGCCATTAGCGGCAACTCCGTAAACAGCAGCCGTATTACGTGATATTCATAGGAAGAGATGAGTCTTGGAGTGATTCGAATACAAGAAGAATGGAGCGGCGGCTTCTTCTATGCGAATTCTGCAAACTCATGTAACCTATTGAACCTGGCACGTTTCCCCCTTCAATTGGGATGAACTTCCGCACAGTTCCGGTGAGTTTTCCGCAGTATTTCTTTCACCTTTGTGTTGAGTACGCGCCCAAAGTCAACTTCCAGCAATTGACGTCCAAGTGTGAATTGCCTTTGAATTTGCCATTTCAGATCAGGTTTACTTATTCTCTTTCTATTTTTGCCAGCTGCGCAGGCGTCCTGCGAACGTGCTCGTCTCTGGTTTCCCTTTTGGCACTCGGATGAGGATCGATTTCGGATCGGATCGGCTGGGTTTCAGGTAAATCCCGTCTAAGCCGCTTATTGACGCTGAGGTTAATAGAATTTCGGGCAAAAAGAAAGCAAACACAATAAACTGTGACTGTGTGCGAACGTGTCCCAGGAGGACAATTTGACTTAGGACCTCAGGCCTGTGTTAATCTCCTTGCTGAAATATTGCAAACTGACTTCCAGAACGAGGGGCTTGCCAATTCGGTTTGTTTGTGTTCTCTTCCTGTCAAATATAATTTGATTAATTGCTTTATTGTTTTTGAGGATTTTGGTAGAATGCTCAACAGCATTGGCCTTGCATAAGATTATAGAGCTCTGAAAATTAAACACTTAAAAGGATTTTAAGTATTATCAGGCTTAGTTGCTGATCTGGTTTGGATTTTAAAGGAATGTTTCAGAGCCTTTGGATTTATGCATGTTTTGTTGTTTTAATCGTATTAATACATGTTAAGGAAACAATATTCTAGTACACTTATATCTCTTACAGGGTATTATAATTTGAATCAGAAACTTGCAAAGCTGTAAAGAAACCGTTAGTTGCTTTTTTAATAAACTGTGATTTAAAAATATTGATACATTTAGAGAATTTAAATCATTCAAATTTGTACTAAACATTATTCCAAACACATTTTAAAGAAAGAAAATCGCTGCGTCTCCTATGATTTCAACCCAGCATTCAAGAAAGTTAAAAAAGACGGCACAGCCTTTAAGGAGCACTCCTCGAAAATCGATACGATAGCGAGTTGGAGGAGCTGCACCCACTGAAATGGGGGGAATTCCCCTTTCGGGGGAATTACCAGGACGGGCTGCTATGTATTCGCATTCGAATGTGTGCTGGCCATAAATAGCACGCCAACAAGGGCTTCTCTCCGGGATTGCTGGCCAAAAATGTACTCCAGTCGGCAGCAGTTTAGCCTGACAATGACAGGCCGGAGTTTTGGTGCTGTGGAGCGGGGAAGTGTGGAGTTTTTGTGGAGCTGGAGCCATCACCCCTTTCGGACAGCGGATTTCGGGGTGACACCTCATGAATGTCCATGGAGTGGAGGCAATATGGGCGACAAAACATGGACACATTCACTCGAAACAAAAACAGTCAAGAAATTTAGAAACTTTAGAAATTTAGAAAATTATTTATTTTGAAAGACAATAAATGTAAAATAGCTTAAAGATTATTTTATTGAATTTATCCCACTTAATAATTAAAAAATAAAAATAAAAAAATTCCATCTGAATAAAAAAAAAACTTTCAAAAAATTCTTGAAAAAAACCTATAATGTTTTTAAAAATAGCCTCTTGAATTATAAATCATTTTCCAATGAAATTCTTATAATTCCCAACTGATTTTAACACGAAATCATATTGTAAAATACCATTTTTTAAAGTGTTTGAACTAGAGCAGGATTGGGCGCTCTACTAAATTGTCCCTCGACACAAATTCGAAATCGATAAATGATAAAAATCAACAGAAACTTCATGGATGCTCTCCTCGTCCCTGTTGCCATCTCACTTGCTCTGTCGTGCGCCCTCTCGCTCGCACACTCACTCAAATGATGGCGTCGGCAATGTCGCTTCATGAAGCTTTTATTGTCTGTCTATTTCTAAGCTTTGTACATGGACTCTCCACTCTCCAGTCCACTCTACCACTCCACTCCGCCAACGCCTTCACTCTGGGCCAAAAAGGGAGGACCACAATATGGCCATCCCGCTTGCACCGGATTAGATGCTGTCTCTCGCTCGCACACTCGGCAAATATTCGAAAACTTACCAAATTGTTTTCGCTGCTGGGGTTTTGCCGGGTGGATTCCAATGCTGATGTACGAGTACGAGAGCGGCTCCCTCTCGCCCATGTCCTGTCTATTTTCCTGGGGATGTCTCTCTATATCTATCTGCGAGCGGGGTAATATACGATGTCCTGGCACGCTGTATCTGTATCCTTGCATCTGTATCTGTGAGTGGGTGTGTTTCCAACAGCAGCAAAGTCCTTGTAGGCAGACATCGACATTGATTATGCCGTGTTTTTCTTCTGTTTCTGCCCTTATTCCGTTGTCGCTGTCGTTGTCGTCCTCCGCAGCGAATTGAATTATTGTTTATGTTTATAGCAAAACAATGTCGGAGTATGCGTTTTTAATGATCATTGTAGGGCCAATCTATTTATATAAAATATAGGGAGAGATATCCGGACTGTGGAACGGGGCAAGGGGGAGGCCTATTAAAAGATGGCTAAGTTCTGGGACCGTTTTGTGTGGTTTGAGGAAGGGTCCTAAAGAACTATGGGGGGATTGGGAAAGCGACTTAGGATCTCTATAATGCACAAGTTATACATATATGTATAAGATATTTGATTATAATTACCATTAAATTACGCCAAAATATTACTTAAAAAAACGGTTAGAAATGTACTATTCTTATTTTTACAAGTTTATGGAAATTAGATTAGATTATAATTCCATCAAGTCCAACCAATTCCTAGGTCGAATTTTTTAATATGATTTTGTAAGTTGTTTACTATATTTCATATGAGTAAGAATAGACTAATTTTCCAATTTACTTTCACCTTACTTATTTACTCCACTAGCCAAGATCTACTCCTAAAACACCTTCTACCTTACATTAAAAAACCCCCTAAAACCTAGAAATCCCCAACATTTTTTAATTAAAAACCCAAAGCCAAATCAGGGGAAACGGGAGACTGTTAATGAGCTGGCCGAAACGAGGGTCGCACGGTACAGTAGCCTATCAAATATGCAACAAACACGTCGCAACATTGAGGCAAACAAACGGACAAAGAAACACACACAGCAAATAGAGTAAAATAAAAATACAAACAGAACAAAGGAAAAACAAAGCGGCAACGAGAAGGTCAAAACGTAATCAAGTTGGGGCAGTCAGTAAACAGTAAAGTAAAGGCAGCAGCGGCTCGAAGCATCGGATCGGAGCTCATTATCTTCACCACAGAAATTTGAGTTTGAGTCTGAGTTTTGAGTGAAACGCTGGCAAAGGGAAGGCCACGCCCCTTGCGACATGCGCAAGATGGCCAGTGTTCCGTTCCCATACCGTTTCCGTTTCCCCTAATGTGTGCAACAGAGATGGAGCGTGCGAGAGAGATGGGCGAAAGGTGGGGGTTAGCCCCATGTTTTTAACGCGCTCGACATGAAAATGAGCATGAAACGTGCGACAAGCGATGGAGTCCATTTTGAGTTTATTGTTTGATGATTTGAACATTTTATATATGTATGTACGTAAGCCTGTATCTTGGTGTGTATGTTAGTGGCTCTCTTACTCTCTCTCTCTCTATGTTTGTGTGTGTGAGTGTGCGGTAGTTGTGTCTCTTTTTTTAGTAAATGCTTTGATGCACGCTAGTTACTCGGCTTAAGCT